CACACACACACACGCACACGAGCACACACACGGATGGCACACAACACACACACACACACACACACACACACACACACACACACCTCACCCTTCCTCCTTTTCCTCCTCCCCACTAATTTGAAATCAGTCCCTCTTCGAAACTAAACTTAACATAATATCCTCTTATCCCCCAGCTAATAACAAACTGACAACTGTGGGTCACACGACTCCCTCACCTACCTGTTGAGAACATTGATGATAGCCTCACCACCCGACAAGTCTCTGTCATAATCCTCGGCCCCAGTCGTGTAGACAAAATGACCCTTGTGGTCACCGGTAGACCGTTTGTGCCTGGTGCCAGAGCCTGGTGGGGCTATGACGATGCTGTGACTCAAGTGACCTTCCTGGAGTGGGGGAGAGAGAGAGGTACATGTGCTTTATGTCTTAGTCTTTTAGTTTTAGAAAGAGTTTTGCCGTTTTTGCAACACAATTGAGTCTTATAAGTGCCGAAGATTAGAGGTGTTGCAGGAGAGTAACAAATACACACACACAAAAAGGAGGAGAGATAAAGATGATAGATGTTTGATAGGAAAGAAGGAGCAAACCTTTCCAGACTACTTCAGCTCTTTAACCCTCTTCTGCACTCATTTAAAAAAAATTATTGACATGAAAATTATAACGCTATACGCAGTGGCGGCTCGTGGTTTATAGAACTGACCGGCGGTCATTCACGTCGACTATTTTCCCTCCCCCACCCCCTTCCTTCACAACACACACACACACACACACACACACACACACACACACACACACACACACACACACACACACACACACACACACACACATACACACACACGCACGCGCACATACACATGCTCTCTCTCTCTCTCTCTCTCTCTCTCTCTCTCCTAATTTTATACCCCTATTTTCGCCATCCCCACCCCCTCCCCCACTCACACACACACACACACCACAGTAAACATTGTAATAATGTGAAAGAGCTAAAATATGCGGTAGCGTCAAGAAACAATATTATGAATAATGTAAGATGGAAGTTACTGAGATTAATAGAAACTCACTTGATCGGCACAGAAAAAGAAACACACTACTTGAGTCTAAGCTAGAAAACAAACTGAAAGTGAGAAGCAATAAACCGCTGGTCCTGGCCTCCAGTACAGTACTTTACTCGTACTTTCTACACCCCCACTCAAAATATCGA